TTTAGTGCCACCAGCTGCAAGGCGCACGTGATATCCACGTTGCTGAGTGCACGTGGTCTCCTCACTGCTAGCTAGGTGCACGTGCTGCTAGGTGCACGTGGTCTCCTCACTGCTAGCTAGGTGCATGTGATATCCACGCTGCAAGGCACATGACGTAGTGCCTTCAGCTGTGCTTGTCCACGAGGGCAAGGCACGTGGTAAAGGGTATAAATACCCAGGATTTCCTTCCAATAAATGAGACTTGATCAGACTCCCTGTCTTGTCTCCATTCTTCGAGTCTCCGTCCCCACTCTCTCTCTTGCTAGGCCCTGACCCGCGGACCGGAACAGCAGAACGGGCGGTTACAAAATGGCCCCCAGAACGTGAGGCAGCTTGGGTTGCTACAGGTGATGCTGGTCTTATTCCTGCATCTTCGACATTTCAGATTAGAAAAAGAAAGAATAAGTTAATGTTCCGCAATTCTCTATATAGCAAAGAGAATATTCCTGCTGGCCATAACTTCCTTGGCAACCAGTGATCCGGTCATAGTTTCCTTGGGAACTAGTGACACCAGCCTGAAGCAGCTCTTGGAATCATGAATGAGGTGAGTTTGCTCTTATATTCCAAGTGCTAGAGCCCATTCTAGGTGTTGGGGATCTACTAGAAAGCAGAGCTGCTTCTCTACAAAACTTTCAATTTAGTTAGGGAAGAAATGTGCTAAACCTGAGGTGACAGGAGGACCCACTAGTAAGCAATTTTTGGTAAGTGGAAGCAGCAGATTTTCAGAGCATGGACAATGCCCACAAAGGTTGTTTTTGTGAGTTGCTGAATTAGTCTAGATGGTCAAAGTTGGAATACTGATATGCTGGAAACTAAGCCCAAAACATAGAACACAATCCACCGATGTTAAGGAACCTCGTGAAAAATTCCCTTGTCAGACAACTTTAACTAACACCTCTGGATCTACATATGGAACATATTTAATCTTCTACTAGGCAAAGTCATGTGAGTAAGTGGTAATTTGGTGATTCTACATTTTCTTTCCACTACAATTTAAATCGTGACATTACTAGTAGGGCTAGAGTGGATAGGCTTCTTAGAAGAATATGTTTGGAGGGGTTGTCAGAAGATATAGGAAGATAATACACATCCTCACTTTGCTCCTATTTCTTGTTTACAAGATACTCTTTAAAAGGATACAGGAATTTAAATAATTATTTTCCAAAGTGAAGAATAAAGTTAGTTTTTAAGACAGTAAAGGCAATTTAAGGATTCAGAATCCCAGCAACGAGAAAATTCACTTAGCATCAATTCTGTCTTCCAAACTTCTTATCAAGGCTACACGTTCAAGAGTGTCTAACATTTGATATTGTCATCTACAAATAAGTAGCTACATTGGTCCATTTTTGTCAACTTGACACAATGTAGAGTCACCTTGGAAGAGCAACCTCAGTTGAAGAACTCCCTCCACTAGATCTGTCATATCTTGTGGGGCAGTTTCTTGATGAATGGTTGATGTGGAAGGGTATAGCCCTCCGTAGGTGGTGCAACTCCTGGGCAAGCGTTTTTTGATGTTATTTCAGTTACAACCTAACATCTTTACCAGTAGATAATGAAACTGCTTTCTTTGATTATCGACAAGAAGCAACTCACCGGTTGCTTGAGATTGGAAAAAGCCTATCACATCATTAGACTCCGATCCTAAATCTTTTTTCGTGTGCATTACATTTCCAGCTATTGCCCTAAGGACT